TTGCTCCGCTGGCTCCGTTCCGCTCCGTGTCGGGCGCGTGGGGAGCCGGTGCCTTGGCGTAGCCCTGGAAACCACCGGTAATTAACGGAGATGCTCCATGTCATGGAAATAGCCCGGAGCGGCCGTGCCCCTGCCGGGATGTCCCCCTCAGGCAGAGGACAAGGTGGCCCCGGTTCTTTGTGATGGTAACGCACAGGGCCGGAGCCACCAGGTGACCAAAAAGCACGTTTTTAAACCCTAAATCCTTAATAGTTCAAGACTTCCTTTGAGGAACACCTGGGCCCAGTTTTGACACAGACATGGGACAGAAAGATGCTGCGTAACTCCGGCTGTCCCTTCCTGCCTAGCTTGGTCTGCAGTGACCTGGAGGGCTGCAACTATTTTAAACACAAAAAACCACAGTTATTTCTTGCACGAGCACCCAAGGGACTGAGGCAGGAGGGCCCTTTAAAGTGACTTTATTCCAGATGTCCCTCTGGATGGAGGGGACTGCAAGCGCACGGCAGGGGAGCAGGCAGGGCTCAGAAGTGCATTAAAACCCTCGTTAGCCTAAATCCAAAGCGCGGAGCTCGCGGGGGCTTTTTGGGAATGCGTTACCGACCGCTGAGCAGGGCTGAGGGCTGCGGTGGGGATTTGTTTCCTGGGGCTGCTCCTCTTCCGCCGCGTTTTCCTCGCCGTTGAGACGCGGCGATTCCGGCCCCGCTTTCGGCCGGGCTGTGCGGCGCTGTGCCAAAGCGCCCATGAGGAGGCACCCGAACCGCAGCCCCGACGCCGCGTTTCAAGAGCGCCCGATTAATCCTGTTAGAGGGATGGATGAGCCGGCTGCAGACGCACGACGTTTCGAGTCAGTACCGAGGGAGCAGAGCATCTTTATTTGTTTATCTGCTAATGTCTGTTGTTATTTCCAGAGCATTAGGAAGTCATTTCTGGCTTAGCTGCTGTTTCCCTTTCTCCGCTGCCAGAAGCTGCCCCTTCGCATCAGCCGGCGTCAGGCAGAGAGGGCAGGATTGCTGGGAAACGCTTCAAGGGACGTGGACGAGCCCGGGGTTCGGTGAGCGCTCCGCGGGCAGGTTGCCCCCTTTTTCCTTCCTCTTCCTTCCAAATAGGACGGATTAACTCCGTGCTGTCCCTGCTCGCTTGCTGGATATCGGCATCGTCTCTGTGCTGAGCCTCGTTTTCCCTTTTCGCTCCCAGGAGCCTGCGGCAAATCCTCCCATCCCGCCACGCCGGAGCCGCCGGCTGCAGGAAAGGGACATGGAGCCCGCGGGGCAGCGGGAGCAGGTCGGAGCGGCGGCCAACGGCAGCGCCCGCGAGCTGGCGCGGCCGGAGCGCTCCAACGGCAGCGCGCAGTTCGCCGGCGTGCAGCTCGTGCAGTCCTTCAAGCCCCTCATCATCCCCTGCTACGCCCTGGTGCTGCTCGGCGGCATCTTCGGCAACTACCTGCTCCTCTACGTCATCTGCAAGACCAAGAAGATGCACAACGTCACCAACTTCTTCATCGGCAACCTGGCCTTCTCGGACATGCTCATGTGCGCCACGTGCGTGCCCTTCACGCTGGCCTACGCCCTCAGCCCCCGGGGCTGGATCTTCGGCGAGTTCCTCTGCTACTTCGTGTTCCTCATGCAGCCCGTGACCGTCTACGTGTCCGTGTTCACGCTCACGGCCATCGCCGTCGACAGGTGAGGGGGGCCGAGGGCCGCTCGGCCTCGCGAGATCCGGGACGTCTTGGCCAGTTTTCCGTATCCTTTCCCGGTAGCGCCAGGATTTTGCTTCTTGGGGAGGAATTACTATTGCGGGGGGAAGTTCCTTGGTTTTTTGCACTTATTTTGTGTTTGCCCTCACAGTTTGGCAGGTCCCGTTGTCCTTACAATGCCCGGAGAGTGTTTTTTTGTTTTTCTCCTGTCACTCGGTGACATAAATTTGTGTGAAAATTACACCGTGACCTGGCCGAAGAGCCCTCGTGCCTGCCTAAATGGGCTCGGGCAGGGGGGTTTTCTAGAAAAGCTGTGTTTCCATAGATACATCATTCCAGAAAGGAAGCTGCAAATCCCGCAGGGAGCCCCAAGCAGCGAGATCAGGAATGTCTTTAATGTGAACTTGCCTCCAACTCCGGCAAGGAGAACGGGAGCCGGCTGAAGTGACGGCAGCCGAAAGGGGAAGATTCCAGCGGAGGAGCCGGGAAGCTTTGACGTGATCCTCACATCCATGGGGCTGGAAGGAGGCAGGGGCTGGCCAAGCCCTCGCTGCTACGAGGGGGGTGTTTTTGATGCAAAGGGCAGTGCATAAACCCAAATTATCACTGCTGAGAATGACCGCCTGGTTGTAACAACCGCCTCTTGCAATAGCCCTCAGTTATTGCAAGAGAAGTGAGAGCAAGGAGAGCACCAGAAGGGGGGGAAATGAAGGATTAATGGGGATTTTCTTGGGTGGAAGCGCTGCGGGGTGTCGGGGTGGCTCACGGTACGTCTATCCCGCAGGTACTACGCCACCGTGCACCCCCTGCGCAAGCGCATCTCCGTCAGCAGCTGCGGCTACGTGGTCGGCGGCATCTGGCTGCTCTCGGGCGCCTTGGTGGCGCCGGCCGTCGCTCACACCTACCACGTGGAGTTTCACCATGAGGGCTTCGCCATCTGCGAGGAATTCTGGATGGAGCAGGAGCGGCAGCGCCTGGCCTACGCCTACGGCACCCTCATCATCACCTACATCCTGCCCCTCTCGGCCGTCTCCCTCTCCTACATCTGCATCACGGTGAAGCTGCGGAACCGCGTGGTGCCCGGGCACCCCACGCGGAGCCAGGCCGAGCTCGAGCGGGTGAGGAAGAGGAAGATCTTCCGCCTCGTCGTGCTGGTGGTGGCCGCCTTCGGCATCTGCTGGCTCCCCATCCACGTGTTCAACATCATCCGGGACATCGACATCAACCTCATCGACAAGCACTACTTCCTGCTCATCCAGCTGCTGTGCCACTGCTTCGCCATGAGCTCCTCGTGCTGCAACCCCTTCCTGTACGCGTGGCTGCACGACCGCTTCCGCGGCGAGCTCAGGAAGATGTTCGCCGCCAAGCAGAGGGTCGGCGCCGGCAGCGTCGTGCTCTGAGCCCGCGCGCGGGGACCCGGCTCCTCGCGGCCTCCGCGCTCGCGCCGGCAGCAAAACTGCAGCACAAGGAAGCCCTTTTCCTACCCAAAGCCCCGTCTAGGAAACCATGGCTGCATTTAAAACCATCCAGCAAGGTGCAAGAGAGAGAAGTGGCTGCGGGCG